AAACATAAAAAAAAAAAAAATCATCAAAAAATTGTATGTAACGCAATCAATCAGAGAATTAAGAATCATAAATCCGGATAGCGGCACATTGTACTATAAATGTTAGGAACTTATTCCAAACATTTTAACATTCAAAATATTTTAAATTCAAATAATTAAAATACTAAAGTAAATTAATAAATCCAATAAATTCACACACAAAATAATAATTACACAACCGATCTTTGCAGGGTTCAAAAAAGTCTATCACAGTTTAATAGAACTAAAAGAGCCGCGCACATGAACAATTTATTCCCGAAAGAATTTTTAGACACTTCAAGAAACAATTTAAATATCTAGATAAATGTGGCATTTTCGAATATTTTTTCAATAGCTGGATAACCTTTTCACGGCCATCCGACTTAACAGAGAAGAACCGTTTGACTTTGTAACCTAGACTATTGAATATGATCAACTTAAATTTCGTTCCTACTATTGAAATTAATAAAATGCGCTCGAAAAATCATCACAATATTGTAATCATTGTAGTTTGAAAATTTTAAATATGCTTTGAATCAAACAAATAAATTCAATTAATCTAATTACCTTTTTGTAAACCGAAATACGATACAGGACGAGATAATTGCAAACTACGGAAGAAGTTGAGACGATAACAGGTTACTTAACCCGTAATGTCCCCTTTCGAAGAGAAGATGAAAAGACGAAGCATCGAAAAAACATGATATTTTTCGGAACAGCATATGCCCACCCCTAGGAAAGGATACCGATGGCAGAAGAATGTTCCTCAGACAGGCGGCTTAGCATCCTGCCTCTCACCACTAATTTTTCATCCGCTACAAAAGCACGCCGAACCTTCAAACGTTCCGCCATCCGCTGACCAGAAGTCGAGGGAAGAGGAACACACGTGATGGGGCCACGCCTACTCCTCTCCCATTGGGCGGACGGAGGACCAATCCCATCCCGCCCCCCTGTAGGCCCAATGCCCCCCTCCTCACGTACTCCTGTCATCGCTTTCCAAATACCATCCGTCCAACCTCTTGTTCCCCAGGATCAGCCAGGATATCTCAATGATACTTCTCCGTGACTAGGCGAATCCTTAACGCGAACTTAATTCTTGTCCGCTGGGTGGCTCTGTCATTGAGGAGATGTGTCCGTTGATTTCTTAAACTGTTTGGACAACTTCATTTAGCTCATCGAATCTGATCACTACAACTCAATTCAACAACGAATACCAGCGTCGCCAATGATTAACTAATAACTGATAATTATCTATTTAAACACGAATAGCTAAAATTAATAATTTAATTTTTTGTTATATACACATTTGACGAATAATTAACAAGTATATCAATTAATTAAGAAAATATAATAACTTTTTAAACTCTTTCCAATAGTTAAAGCATATAGGATGCAGTTGAATTTGATAGAAAATTGTCTGTGGTTTGCAAAAAAGAGAAAAATATAATTTAAGTAAGAAAGAAATATTTTAAATATAAATTCACAAAAAATACACTTGATCAATATATACAATTTCTTATCAACAGTCAATTATCCACAATATCAATATAAGTTATTTTCAATGTTTTTATCTCCTTGTTTTGTTAAGTTTTCTAAATTTTTTCTTCTTTTTTCTATCAAAGATTCAAGGTGGATTTGAAACATGTACTTCAGGCGTCCATCCAGGTGTCAGCAAATTTAGTCTGCAGTCACCTCTTAACGTGCGAAAAATAAAATAAAATAGCAATAAATATAAAAAAAGAAATGTCTAATAAAATTTACAAGCGCGACAAGTAGGCTGAATTAATTTCCCCCAACCTCGTATGGTTAATACTTATTTCAATTTAAGTACTTCATAAATTCCACATTAACATAAGTAGATTCGTCGTTAAAGAATAAGAGCTTTTGGTATTTTTCCAAATCATGGGGAAACCCTAACACATTTTTTTGTAGTAGAAAATGAGCCATTTTAATCTTTAAAAAAATTTCGAACCATCGAAACTAATATTTACGATGAGCAGCAATAACTATAGACTGGACGTGATGATAGACAACTTAATGCAAGAGATATGTGAAATCAAGCCATATGAGTGTAATGTTTGATAATAATCTATAGAATGGAATCCTTTTCTCCTTGACACAATGTGCCAGTTGCCTTCTCGTATTGTGAGGAGGAACAATTGGAACTGTATTTATGTCACTTGCAACAACTCTATGCTGTTATTTAACGACGGCTATCCGTTCAATTAACTATAATACAATGTATCATATATAAGTAATATTACATTTATATTTCTTTGACATAATAAATTAATATATATATATATATATATATATATATATTTAAAATTAATCCCACTGTATATCTCCTGATTGTATAAAATATACAGCTGATAAATTATCAGGAAGCATTGTTCATGTGCTCACTATAGTACGTGAACACCCTTATATCGGCAGCAATAAAAATCTTAAAATGACTACTTCCTGATTATTTATCAACTATGAATGTAGAACAATCGAATAACTTCCTTCAATAATTTATAAAATATATAATTTACATAAAACGATACATCTATCTTTTCCATCATACCTAATTATACAAAATATTACAAGAATAAAAAGTTTATTGTGATACCATCAAAAATAGCCAAACAAATATAGTAAAACTTCTAGTTTTTGGGACCCTTGAGAAAACTTTAAAATTTATTGTCCTGTTTTTAAATGCATTGGTACTTGGTTCAACAATTTCGGTTCTATTAAGTCAGTAGAAATCTCTAATCACAAAATATATATGCAAAACGGCACCTTTAACGTTATTATTTTTTATTTTAAATCGGAAAAATTAGTAAAAGATTTAAGTCCACATGCGCCAGCTTTCGGTACCCTAAGCTACCAGTAGTGTTGCCCAAAATCGGTCTTGGTCTTGCACTTTGCAAGACCAAGACCATGGCCGTATAACTGTTGCAAGACCAAGACCAGGACTGGAAAAAAAAATCGATTTTTTGAATAAAAATTAAGGCAAAATAGTTACTATATTTGACAAATTTAGTTACTCTTAGTAGAGAATTGGTATAACCAATATACTTTTGCATTTAACTCCTCTAATTTTTCATTCGGGCTTAGTTAGGTTTCTCTTATCTAAACATTTACAGTAATATCACTATACTAATACAGTAATATCTCTAAAAAGAACGTTGCGAGACTCTTGCGCAAGACCAAGATCATGACCAAGACTGACTTTACAAGAACAAGACTCATCTCGGTCTCGCATTTGGGCAACACTAACGACCAGTTACTTCAAATTTTTACAATCCTATTCATATATTTACTTTTAATCGAGTCATATTTTTCATGCGTGTAGGTGCAAATAATTTCTAAAACGGAAGGACTTATTTTCTTTTTTTCGGTCTATCGGCCGCCGATGAAATTGCACCAAATTGAGGCATTCTGCAACAGTCGAAATATGTTTTCTTTTCTATAGATTGCAGTGCCAAATGAACTATAATTTTTTTCTTTTTTCTTTAGTTCTTTCCCTTAAAGCCCTTTACCTTATTACGTATGGAATATACTCCCACCCCACAATAAAAAAAAGAAAAAAGGAGAGAAGTTAGATCACTACATCATTTTATTGAGCGCTTGAATTAAAAAGTACAACAATCAACGAAAAATAACTTATAGAGTAATTAGATTATATATGTAATGGCTAAATCTGAACAGTATGCGGTATATGGTATACGCAATAAGCAGAAAGTTAACAACATATTCTATACTCGTTCCCATGGAAAACTAGTTTATTTATAATAAAGGTTAGGCTGTATTTATTCCACCATATTTATTTTTCTTCTCTTATTGCACTGGAAATCCCTCATTGAAAATAACCACATAACGTTGCCAATGCAATAAGAGAAGACAAATAAATATGGTGGAATAAATACAATATAAACTTTTATTGTGAATCTAATTTCACCTTAAACTAAAATAAATACTAGTTTATTTATTTATTTTATTTTTTAGGATAACTCTAAAACAAAACATTTCTCGGATAAATAAATGAATAAACACAAATAATAATAATTAAAAAAAAAATAAATATTGATCGTAGCAATGTCAGCAAAGAAAATATTATGTAGAAACAACAAATAAGATGATGTATCATTCTACCATATAAAAATAAAAGGAAAAGTTTTGTTGTATTGACTTTAAAGCCACATATAAACTGTATAATAAAAAGATTAATCCTATACATTAAAAACAAACTGATAAGGAATATCAGCAAGTAGGAAGCAGAAAATAAATTATAAGAACAAAAATTAGGATTATTAATTCTTAAATTGACCATGTGACAGAATGTTATATAAATCAATAGAAATTTATTAACAAAAAAAAAAAAAAAAAAATCATAAGTTGTGGAAATAGTATCTATTTTTTGATCGGCAATTAACATAGTTGAACTAAAATTTTATAATAAGTGAACATAGCTGAAAATGAAAATCTGAGAACATACGACCTTTAGAAATAAGTAATTTCCCATTTTATGTTAAGTACAGAAGAACGTATTAACGAAATAAGGTGACAAAAAGGGGAAAATGCAGGACTTATATATAAATAAGTTTTGCAAATTACTATAAAAACCATACCTATAATTAAAAATATTATACAAAATCTACTATATTTTTTTTATAATAGTTCATTTTAAAAATCCGAACAGAAATAATGATCTAAAGGAAGTTAAACACCACAATAGAAAATTAGTAAAATCTAATTCACTAATTAATCAACAGATTTACCCAGTTAGTATACAATTTTATATATTGATATAAATTAAATAATCCTGAATAAATCATACATAGTCATTCTGTATGGTTAAGCTTTTTGAAAAAAACTTAAGAAATATTCGGGAGCCTTTAAAAATCTTGGGATCGACGTAGAAGAATAAAACTGCTATAAACAGTAAAACCCTGAAGAATGAAAAGGCAATGAATTGTTACTACCAGTTTACTCACTTGAAACGTTGGAGGGGAGAGCTTCTTTGATATGATGTCATTGCTAAATATAGTTCGAAAACAAACAACCATTAAGGTAATACTTCATAAACACGGCAATTAGTGCAGATTAGAAATAACCATCTCGCCGTATAAAAGGCTGTGTATATTCAAAGATAAAAATGCACATTCAGCGATAACAATTATTTAAATGAGAAATGTAAAAAAAACAACTTAAAAGTGAAAACATTTTATTCTATGAAGCGTCGAAAAGAGAAGACGAGGTACGTGGTATAAAAACATGTTGATTCTTGAATTGAATAATTTTCAATTGTAAATAGCTAGTAAAGTGAGGTCGTATTTGGAAGAAGACATATTTTGAAGATAACATGACACATTATTCCGTAACGTCAAAAACACTAGAGAAACGGATTAAATTCCGTAAATTTCAGGCATAACATTTTATATTAACTAACGATAAACAGAATTAGAAAATAAACAGCAAAAGGTACACAAATTAAAGTTAAAACTATTTACATTTTTTTTTAACGCAGTAAATAATTGATTTGTTTAAAAGATTCTAGACCACGGTACAGACCTCTTATCAGATTTCAAAGAGTTTTTGTAGATATAAAGGTTATAGGTTACGATAAGGTGAAGCCATTCAAGAAATTTTAGGCGGATGTTAATAATTTGATAAGGATCAATACCGCAGAATATTCCTTTAAAAGACTCCTAGTAAAACTGAAATCAATGTTTAGTAGATGGAATTCGATAGAAATAGATATAAAATGAGAGAAGGAAAAGTAATTTTCCTAACAAACAAAACAAATAACAATTAAAAACATTAATAACCTTAAAAACTGTTTGCCAAAGGTTATTGGACAACGCTAAAGCCGATATTATAACGAAAAAAAATTTACTTTAATGACTTGTTGACCAAAAACTTTTCGATTTTTATTAATATAAATGAATTTTTTGATTTAATATTAAATTCTCTCTGAGGAAGATCTCGTATCCTGCTGTGACAATAGACAATAAGCCAGTTTCCTGAAAAACACATGTACGGTACCTCGGACTGTAGAACAAAACTCACCTGGAACATTCATACTATATTAAAAAAACAAGAACTGACCAGACGATACAAACAACTGTCACATCTTTTGGAGTACAGATCTTCACTAAACTTACTAAACAAGCGACTAATCAACACCACCATACGTATTTGGACATACGGAGCAGAACTTTGGGGTTCCGCAAAACACACACATAAACAACATTCAAAACATACAATCCAAAATACTTCGTAAAATCGTCAATGCTCCTTGGTTTATTTTAAATCACACCATACACACAGACATGAACATACCAAAAGTAAAATCCTACATACACAACATTTCATTCTTCTACTCTCTATCATCCAAATCCACTCGTTCTATCTCTATCTTCCTCCTGTTACCTGGTGAGCCTCAACGACGACTAAAAAGGCAGTGGCCTAGAGATCTTCTGCTGATAAGTTAAGCAAGTATCAAGAATACAAGATAGAATAAATGTCAACTCATTTGCTTGATGCGTTACAACGCAGTGGCAAATTTAATGGAAAATAAATAAATATAAAGTAATACTAAATATTGACTTATCTTAAAACTGACCCGTTGTAAGCTGAACATAAAACTTTTTTTTTTGTTGATAAAATCTGCCTTTTCCCTCCTGACACAAACACGTGATAATTACAGTGTTATATTACAAAAAAAATTTAAATATACAAGAAGTTCTTACCTCTGTTTTACATGGAAGGCCAAATCGAAGCTATTCATATGGCAGCATAATGGTGTACGTAATATTTTAGTATCCATTTCATAACTAATAGTTACGTTATTTAGAAAAATGAAAAAGGTATTATTAAAAAGGGTAGTGAATTTCAAAAATGAAATATGAATGAGTTATCTTCATTAACCACAATTACAACACGATTATTGAGAATAGATTGCACCGCTTCAGCATTATTAGCAAATTATAAAACTTCTTAAAACGTAACCGGAAAGATATTAAGTAAATAGCTATATTAACTAAAATAGTCCACTTATTAAATATAGCCTTATTCTTATCGGCACAAAACATAGGTCCTAACGAAACTGCCAAATACCACATCATCTTCGAGAACTTGTTTAGAACAATGACAAGATCCACAAGTAACAAACTCTCCAAGACCCGGACACGACAGAACTGACAATTGCAAACGCAAACGAACCAGAGATGAGCCTGGAAGGCACGAGAGATAAAACAAAACAAGCACAATGGCCGAAGCATCGCAAACTGACGAGGAAATTGTCCCTTGTCGAAGGGTAGAAGGTGAAGTACCGTTGACCACTAACGACGGGATGACCACAGCAATCGTTAGCTGACCAGGACCTAAATCACAAGGGACGTAGCAAGAAGTAAACTTGTCAAACCGGCGGCCTTCACTTCGGGTACTCCGGGGACATGGTTGACCCTTGGGTCCAGGAAGTGGTCACGGTCTTCCGAGGTGTTGACAAGACAATGGCCAGTACAAGGGGTTTCTAATGATTAATTATTTTGTGAATGCTAAGTGCGTAAAAAAGGATATTTAAAAATAAAAAAAAAGTCTTTATTTTTGTTTCTGAAATTTAATAATACATAAGATTAAGATTGGTTGTTTTGATATTTCAAGCGCAACAGTCTACTAAGTCAACAGTGCCCGATTAAAAAAAATAATACTAACATAAAAATATTAATTTGGTAGGATTTAAAAAAAATAAATAAGAAAAAGTAAAATAAATATCAAAGTTTTAGTAAATAAATTAGCCCTTCATATATAGAGAAAAAAAACCCACCCTCATATTAACGACGGACGTCTGTAATTTTTAAAAAAGTTAAGAAAAAGCCATTTTTTATAACATAACTTCAATTTAAACGTAGTTTAGATGATTCATAGGAGAATGTTTGAATGTGTATTTTATGTACAGTAAATAACATTGCGTGTCATTCCAAAGCCACTAAGTTTAAATATGGTGGCTGGTTTTTAAAAATATAAGGCCACTCAGTTGAGAATTGAAACAGTGATTATTTAGTGGAAAAAAAAGGTAGAAATTTTTATTTTTATCTACCGGTGTTTATGAGTGCAAAAAAAATCTAAAACGGGCACATCGGGAGCACTTTTAGTACAAAAATTCCCGGATTTCGAGGAATTTTTATCACGTATAACTGATGAAAGATCCATCCGAGCGAAAAAGTTGTCGTTTTAAAATTAAAGATCATTAAATTACACATCGAATGAGTACAACATAAACGTTTGGTTATGAAGCATAGTTGAAAACACGTACAAATATAAGATAAGTCAAAAATTGATAAATGATACTGCAAGTTGGAAATGAGTTCTTTAAGAAAAAAAAAATGGTTGAACCAAATTTTTAAATTAGGTCAAGTACATCTCTTGAAATTGGCAATCTATAAATTGGCAAGGAAGGTGCATGTGACATCATTAACAACAGTACTATCATATATTAATAATATTATCATATATCAGTCAATCAGTCAAAAAACTCCTTAAAGCATATAAATCAAATTTTAGGAAAATAAAAAACTGTTAATTAAAATTTAAGTGATTATGCGTTAGACTTATGGGGTAATGGTCCTAAAAATCGTGACTATCAAAAAAGAATCAAAAACCGCCAAATTTGACATTAAACTAAAAAAATGACTAAATTGGTACCTCAATACAGGGATGTACATACAAATTAATACATTTCATCTAAATCTCAACGCTTGAGCAATAAGCATTCTATGAATAGTCTGTTAGAAGCACGTTTTAATAAAGGCACATTTTGACTGAATGTTATGCACGTGAAGCACAACGGAATGAAGTGGAATTGGAGAATAATATTACTGAAATTTTGAAAAACGCCACCAAAATGGCAAAAGACTTGTTTCTACAAACAACCCAATTATGTAACAAAATATAGTTTTTATATACACTTTTTTGAATGAAATTTGAATATTTAAATATTTTGTAGTTTCAAATTTATTGTTTCTTTTTTTTTTTCTTATTCAAGATATTCACAACTGTATTAAAACATAAATACACCAAGAAAATGTGTACACAGGAATATAATCACATGAAAACGCATATTGAGAAACTACTCACCGGTAGCACTCTAATAATATATCTATATAAGGAGATCCCGAGGCAATTGGAACCAAGGATTTTGGATGGTAAGGATTGGATACGAGAGGAATTTGATGGTTTAGTGGAGCCCCATAGCTCAACTCCGTAAGTCACAATAAATAACTCCGTAATTAATTGGAAGTTCAGAGCGTTTATCTAGTAAGTGTTGGAGTAAGTGGAAATGTCGAACAGTTTCTTGTCGTTTCAGTCTTGTATGAGGATTCCAAGTGAGGCGTTTTTGCAGGTGGAGTCCTAGGTATCGGATTTATTCAACAGAGATAAGGTGGGGTATTATTAAAGAATATAGTAGGACAGGAAGTCATAGGTTTACGGCGAAAGATAAAGGTGATTTGATGGGATTTATTGGAATTTATTTAATCCTCCAGTTTTGACACCATTCTTCGAGGTTTGTGATGCGTGTTTGAAGAGTTCGGGATACAATTGATGGATCGTTATTAACTGATAGGATATGTGCCATCGGCATAGGTTGTGATGACAGTGTTAGGATGGGTTGGGATATTAGCTGTATAAACTGTGTAAAGTATAGGACTAAGGATACTATCTTGAAGAACACCAGCAGATTGAGAAAAGAGGGATGGAAAAGGTATTATTGTGATTTACTTTGAACTGTCTATCAGTAAGGTGGGAACTGATGATGAGAAAGTATGCAGGGGAGAGAAATTTACGGAGTTTATAAAGAAATCCCAAAATCGATTGCTAAAGTTCGTCTTGTGTAATATAAATACTGTGTAAGGGCTAACTTGATCCGTAGGAGGTTGAGGAGTCCCCCATTATTATAAATAAAATAAATAAATAAGAAGCACGTTTAATTACTAATGAAATCAGCAGTGCTATCGATACGTTTAAGTTAATATGCAATGTTTTGTAATTTTGATCGCGCTATCAGTCTAGAACATTCAATTAAAAAAAATGACAATATTTTTATTCGTGCCAGTAACGCTAAATAGTATTTGTGTATAATGAGAATACAGTATTCTTGAGTAGCTGAATGAAGAAGCAGGATAACATAAATAACAATTAAGTGATAAAAAAAAAATAATTACGTACTATCTACACTTTATGACTCTAAACAGATAAATAAATCAGGAGAGATGAAAAGTTAAAAGATTTTAGATAAAAGGTTGAGAACACTTTTAAATGTGTATTAAATATAAATTATGTATATTAAAATGTTTATGGGAATGAAGAAGGCTTATTTTTATTGAATGACTATATAAAATTTAAAAATAATACGGTCACTAATTCAACTTATACATTCAATATTGTAAATAATACTTTGATGTATATTAAAGTAAATGAAGAGAAGAATAGTTGGG